CACCAGAGGGTGTCTTCTGACCTACACATACACACCACAGTGTGCACACTGGCATTTACACAAAACAAGAACAGAAAGAAAGGGGAAGGAAGGAAGGAGGGAGGGAGGGAGGGGAGGAGGGAGGGAGACAGAAAGGTTTTTATGAAATAACTTCTTTCAATGTATTTAGTGATTCCCTATTTCTAAATTGATAATGAAGGCTGCCTGCGAGGCTTTTGAAAGGGATCATTACAAATGGTCCCTCCCACTGGAACTGTGGAAGCAAACCAGGACTTGTGGCCAACAGACATATTGTCACTTCATTAACTTCTCAAAATCTTTCACAGTGGCTGGGACAGTTGTCTAGGTGATTAAGAACACTCACTGCTCTTCCAGAGGACCCAAATTCAGTTCCCAGAACCCACATCAGACAGCTCTGGAACTCCATTACTCCAGGGGAATCTGGTGCCTCAGATCTTCACAACCACCTGTACTCACATGCAAATGCCTACATGAGAATACAAATTATCTACATATAAGTAAAAAAAAAAAAGTAAAAATAATTTTAGTTTAAAAATCGCTCACCGAAGATTCCTACAGATAACCTGAAGACTCAGTTCCCAGGCTTAACTTTCTTTTGACTTACCTGCTTATTCATGATACTTTGATCTTCTGGCAGACCACCATGCATAATCATGTTCCTAATGTAAGCATAATGCATGAAGGGAACAAAAGCTCATGGGTCTTACCCAAAATCCTTGAACAGAATGAACACCCAGGAAGACGTGCTCTCTGGGCAGATGTCTCGAAACCCAGTTGACTGTACCTGGAGTGCAGAGAATGCCATCCAAAGTACAAGAAGAGGGAGCAGGACAAATCTTATGCAGTCCTACACGTAAAAGGTTTCCATGTTGTCACTTTAGAACCCATTTCCAAATCAACAAAATAAATTCATCTTTTCTGCTTTATTCTCTTAAATACAACTCAATCCTATTTATCAGAAAGGGGAGAAGTCCGTGACAAGGTCTCACAGGCTGGCCTCAAAAACATAGCAATCCTCCTACATCAGGCTCCTGAGTGCTAAGGTACAGGCTCAAGCAAACATATCTGATTATCACTATTCAATCTTCACCCTCAGGCCCACTGTCTCTCATCACCATATGACACCCAGTACACATGCTTAAAGTGGAATTTCAGAAAAACAACAGGTGATGGTTAGTACATCCTGGGCAGTATCTTGTTTAAACCTTAACTAAGTGGCTTGTATTTCTATTCACAGAAGTTTGGAAGCTCCGGCTGCAAAGCCCTTCTTTTGTCACTCACCTCACTACAGCAGGCTGAGCGTTCTTCACAGCTTCTCTAAATCATGTCTGCACCATGTGATCGTTCCTGTTTCCATCTGGCTTAGTCCTTTCTATATCCACACCCTGCCTCCATAATCTAGAAACAGCCATGGTCTCCTATGTCTTTGTACTTCTAGACTGTTTCACAGAAACGCCTGCCCACAGATGATGAGAGCATAAGTACTTATTAATGGAAATTGATTTAAAATCACTGACCAAGACAACTATAATTTATTGAGCAACCACTTTCTGATCTCTCCAGAACTATTCCCTAAATTGTCTTGTCGATGAGTAAGACTCAGTGTGTACCTTCAAAGGATGATGTATAGTTTAACTAACAAAAATTATATATTCAAAAACAGTATTAAAAGACACTAAACAGTGAGATACCATAAGCCCACTGAAAACAGTGAGAGACACCTTAAGAGAAGGGGTACTTAGAAGAGGGGATCTGACTTAAGACCAACTTTGAGGGAGATTTAGGTGAAGAAATAGAATCAAGGGGGTACCTGCTGAAAGTTTAGGCATAGGCACTGTGGAAGGGGACCCTTCAACACGGGCAGCTAGAATTCACCTGGGGTTGCACTTTGTTCTGTGGAGTTCTCTGAGATTCAGAGAACCCACATGAGTGAAAATCTACACAATGACTGTCACTTGCCAGCCAGAGACAATGATGAAATTAGTACTGAAACTGGTGATGTTGACACATGCCTTTAATTCTAGAGGCAGGGGTAGATGGATGTACGAGTTCAAGTCCAGCCTACTCTTTTCACTGAGATCTAGGTCATCCAAAGCTACATAGTGAGACTTTGTCTTATAGTGGAAAGTAGGGTCAGTGTTAAAGAAATCAGCCACAGAGGTCAGTTACCTTTTCCCCAGACCTCCTAGGACAGCATTGAACTCAAATTTCAGTCCTGGCCAACACAATAGACATGCAATATTTCAGTCCTGGCCAACACAATAGACATGATTTTATAAAGCTCTAGAGACTAGGGGTCTGTGAGCTGGTAGTGGGACTCTATGGTATGGTTCTATTTCAAGATTCAGACAATGTTGCTTTTTTGTGTTTTCACAGCAGAAAGAGATGAATCTAGACTCATTCATGAAGACTTGGACTTTACTATCTGGTCCTCAAAGGTGTTATATCTAAATATCACCAAATTAGGAGTTAAAGTTCTCCTCTGAGTTTGGGAACAGAGGATAAAAACCATTCAGTCATGAGCATAAATTACTATTCATTGTACATAGGGCTCCCCAGGTGTCAGCCACAGGCAGTCTGTACACTCTTCACTAGCTGGGAGAGCTTACTAAAAATTATTGAAGTTCACTGCCGAATCACTAATGACAGACATGAAGAGTGATTAGCATAAACTTGCATCTTCTGGAGCTTTAACTTAATATTTCTTTATGAGTTAGAAAACCTTTTAGTTTTGTGTTTAGATTGTTCTTTAGTAAAATCTGGATCTACAATGTGCATATGGTATGCAGTCATCCTTCAGTGTGCACGGAAACCACTTCTAGGGCCTCCTGGGGATACAAAATCTACAGATGTTCAAAACCCTTATTTAAAAGGATATAGTATTTGTACATGTCCTGTCCTATACTTTAAGGCATCTATTGATTACCTAATACAATGTAAACACCATGTAAATGATCATTATACTGTATTTTTAAGGAATAAGAGAAACATCTATGTATTTATTTGACAGAAAGCAGCTTTGAATGATACTGGTCTAACATTGATTTCATAGTACATGCCAGTGCAGAAGCCTTTTTTATTTCAAATATGTTCAGTATGAGACTGGTTGAATTCATGGGCATAGAACCCAAAATGTGGAGGGTTAACTATATACTTCATTTTACAAAATGTTTCAGTACCATATAGTATTCACTTACACACAAAAAAAGTAACAATCCTAACATACAAAGCCTGGCTATATTATTTTCAGTCAGTTTATAGAATGTATTAAGGCTTCAAATACACTATCCTCTGGTAGAAATTATGATTCACACTGAACATCTATGTGAAAACCTTAGGTATTTTAAGTGACTAACCAAGTAAAGAAACAAAACAAAGAAATATGGTTCGACCTTCTAAAAAATTGTAAAAATGTAATAAAATCTTAAAAAGGGCGTTGTCAAAAATGTCTGTTGCAGAAAGCAAATTGTGCTTTTTATTTTTAGAGAATAAGGTAGCAGAGATTTCTTCAGCAGATGATCTGGATGTGCTAAGTTGAACTATATGAAATTGACAGTGTTGATCTTTGTGTGTGGTTGGAGCTTACTCTCAGATACACATCCTTGTGGCCCCTGGACTTCATTCTAAAAGCAGACCTGGATGTCTCCTTGACAGCTTTGGTATAGATCATTCTACTGCCTTTTATCCAGGGCCCCCATCTTTGTCATCAGTCATACATGACTTTAGCCTCTGTGAGACTCAGTTTCCTTACTTACGAGATCAGTAGTTGAGAAGTGGACTATAGATTTAAAATCTCTTAGAAACTTCTTAGTTTAGCATTCCTGTCAGCCTCTTGACTATGGTATGTCATCTGCAAAAGTCAGGTAGGGGAACACACATAATGTGGCTTTATGCTAGGCTACATTCATACTTACTCTCATCGACATGTAGTCACAGTCCATAGTTAGACATGGGAAAACATCTGTTGGATCTGCCTCCTGCTCGTCAATAAATGATGCACCTGTCAATGATGTATAAATTCATCTTTTAGGAATTCCTTCTTCCCACAAGGTCTAGACACTCACTGTCCATTGGATAATTAAAAGTCCCCAGTGATGATTAAAAGAGCCCACCAACTCACAGGTGTTATATGTGAGGTTATATTGCGTGACCATGGACATCCATTTCCCTATCACAAGCTACCATACACTATACTCATCATTTTTCTGTCATTTTCTTTAATTAATTTCACTAATTAAATAACTACCAAAAGTGATGGTGTCCCACCCTCTCATTCTAATTCTGTTCGGAGACGCTTGTCCTGGTGCTAGCCATGAAATGCTCACCAGGTCTACGAGGGCAGGAGTAATAGAGGAGAAAGGGATGTTGGGTGGAGAAGAGGAGGAAGGAGGGAGACCAGCACAGGCTAATCTACTGCTTCTCTGTAAGGCTGGCACCCATACTGTGTTGCAGAGGGAGGGAGATCCTGATCAGATCTCAGTGTGTGGGAAGAAGGTGAGATAAGAAAATGCATTTGGGGATTAAGAGAAAACAGCAACAAAGTTCCCTGGAGCGTGTAGCTGCTTAACAACTCTCTAGATGAGTTTGTGACTATCCCCAAACGAATAGTGGTGATGCAGGATGAACCTCCGAGAATCCTGAAGAAGACTCACACATACGTTAATTAGCCTGTCTCTGCTAATTTCCTCTGTTTCCTTTTTCACTGTTTTTACCGTCTTCCTTCCTGCTGGATCTCAAGTCCTTTTGTTTTGTTTTGTTTTAAATCTAACTCGCTTTCATTTTTTAGCTAACTTAATATAATATGCACTTCACATCCTCTATAGGGATGAATATATACATCAGAGTTGTTTATATCTCTCATTCATTGGGAAAGCAAACCAAGCAGCCTGCCTTCTGCAGAAGGCTATAATTATTGTTCAAATTTAAAGAGGCATTAAAAGGAAATTCAGTGAAGGAAGCATTCTAATCTTGAATCTTCTTCACTTTCAGCCTACAAGGAAAAAATGAAGGAGCTGTCCATGCTGTCACTGATCTGCTCATGCTTCTACCCGGAGCCTCGCAACATCAACATCTACACTTATGATGGTGAGTAGCCTGCAGCAGAGACACCCCTAGCTGCATAATTGACATGCGTTTGAATATATGTGCTTCTCTCTCAGAGCTCCTAACAAATTAGATGAGCATTTTATAGATCTCAGTGTTAATTTGCTGTGTCCAGCCATTAGGTCTTATTGATTGCCTATTGCTCACAACAGTTTGAAGTCAGTGCTAATCAGAAGACATTAATGTCTCTTAAGAGGCATGGCTGGCTTGTTCCCAGCATCCTCATCAGCATCCTCATCAGCATCCTTTTCATTTTCCTAAGCAGCAGCAGCAGCAGCAGCAGCAGCAGCAGCAGCAGCAACAACAACACACCATGATCTACAGGATGTCTTTTCAAATAATGAAATACACTAAACTACAATTACAGTAGACCTTAATTTGCAAAAGACTATTTTTTTTACATAGATCATTCAAGTAGCATTAAACCTACCATCATCACTATTTCTCTTTGTACAGAACCCATGTTTTGTGAGTAAATGAAAACAAGCTAATAATGATAATTAAATTCATAAATAAAATTGACTTACGACTAAAGTCACAAGCAAAGAGGAACTAAGTAGAAAATAATGTAACACCACCTGTGATGGTTCAGACTTAAAATTCTAGCACTAAGGAGTCTGAAGGAAGAGGATTGCAAGTTCAAGGTTAATCAAGAGAACATAAGACCCTGTTTCAGAAAGCTAAATAACACTCTACAGTTGGCATGACCATTGGCATTATTTTCTGTTTGTGTGCTTGTTTACTTTATGGGGGTTTTTGTTGTTGTTGTTGTTTTGTTATTTGAGAAAGGGTCTCTCTGTGTAGTCCTGACTGTCCTGGAACTCACTGTACAGAACAGGCTGGCCTCAAACTGAGGAGATCGTCCTGCCTTTGCCTCTCAAGTGTCAGGATTAAAGGTTTGCACCACTGTGTAGGGGTGCCAATTGACTTTATTGAAGTGCAACCTTTGAAGTTTGCTTTATGCCAATTCATGATGATTAGGCTAGTTTGGTTTCATTTCTGGATCTTCCAATGTATGTGCATGGCCCCAGGCAAGAGGATACTTAGCTCTTTGAACATCATTTACTCTCTCCTTCTAAGAATTTGTGGAAAAGGTATTTCATGTCATAGCCTGCTACCTAAGAGGAACCCAGGAATTATTCTGTCCTTATCAACACTATTAGTTAAAACCTCACCTAATTCAGCCAATAATGCAATCAAAATAGGGCAGTTATCTGTGCCAGATCTACCTGTGGCATTTTGATGTATGAGAGGCTCACAGTTATTCTGCCTAACCACATATGTAAAGATCATTAAAAAGAAGAACTCAGAGCCATTCTTCTTCCGGTGCTGTTCTGATGACACAAGCATTAGAAGGGCTAATTAACTTTCCAGAAGCAGCTGTCTCTGTATGCATGTAAGCAATCCATCTCCAACCAAAACTTCCACTAGAACGCATGCAGCATGTCCAGTTCCTGTAAGTGCACTGAGTTAATAAATCAACTACATAGATCCGTACTATAAGTCAGATGTGCTGTTAGTAGGAATCCAACTGTGTTTAAGAGACTATAAAATCTTTGCTGTGCTGTCACTGAGATCAGATGATGAATTCCGCATGGTCCTTGCCTTCCTTGGACTTGGGGCTCTGTAGAAGAGTCTTGAAACACACAAGGAGAGCACCAAATTGTTGGGACCTGAGAGCGAGGGTGGTTTCTACCGCTTTGGGACTGAGAGGCAGGAAAGCAAAGCTATGTGAGCTGTTTGAAGCCGAAGAGACAATTCCATATCACTCACACACCACTTCAAAAATACTCAGTAGAGAACTTCATATTTCCAGAGTGTTTACTTGGCCTTGTATTTCTGCCTTGACAGTAATTGTATGAACAATGTTGAGATCACATGAAATGCTCTTCCTGGAGCATTCATGAAAGTATAACACCATGCATCACAGTAAGAGATTTGGCCATTGAATGCGCGAGAATCCCCTGGAGGTCTTGGAACCACTCTGGAGGGTAACAAGAGACAGCTACACTTGAAATATTAGTGACACATAACAGTTGCTTAATCCCAAGAAGTTTCTGAATGCAAACAAAGATCAGTGGACTGAGACCAGAGGGTTGAGGTGTGGGGCTCAAACCAAACTACTAGGTTAAAATTGACCAATGAAGTTTTAAAGAAATCAGTAGATTTTCCTACATTGTGAGCTATGAAGTCATAAAAGTACTCAAAGACACTGCCTATTACCCATTTTATGTTATAGATTATTTTAGATTATAGATGATAGTGCAGGATTAATATATGATAATAAGCCTATTAATCGTATGTAATATGATTAAACCTTGAAAGTCTGGTAATCTACTTGTTGTTAGTATATATACCAATAATTAACATGGCTAGCAATTTTCTGTATTCTTTTGTTTAGTTAGCAATGAAAAATTATATGTTTACAGTAACCTTTTTTAAAAGATTTATTTATGTATATGAGAGCTCTGTCTTCCTGTGAGTCTGTACAACAGAAAAGGCATCAGATCCCAGTATAGGTGATAAAACGAGTGTTATTCCCTCATTAAAAAAAAAACAAGAACAGATGTAACTGGAGATCATTAGTAAAATAAATCAAATTCAGAAAGTCACATATCTCATTTTCCTTCATATGTCTTCATGTAGATATATATATGATATATATATATGATATAAAAGGAGGAGGGATATTTGGGAAGAAGGAGACCAACCAGAGTGAGACAGAGAAAGAAAATAAGGGGACAGTGAGGGTACAAATATGAACTTGTACATAAGGAAGTTGGAAAAGTCAAAATCACACCCGTCATTCTGTACAGTGAACATATGCTAAAAATTTTTAAACATAAGTATAACACAATACATTGTTACTATTATCACTGTAGATCGCAATTGTGCTAGTTGAGTTTTTGCCAAATTAATATAATCTAGAGTCACCTGGGAAGAGGGACTCCATCACCCTGACGTGTGGACATGTCTATTCAGCAATTTCTTAATTGATGTAGGAGGGTCCAGCCAACTGTGGATGGTGCCACCCCTAGTTTTGAATTGTGATAGAGCAAGTCGGACAATCCATGGAAAGGAAGTGTTGAGCAGTGTCCCTCCATGGTCTCTGCTTCAGTTTCAGCCTCCAGGTTTCTACTTAACTTCTTGCCCTGGCTTCCCTCAATGATGGACTGTGGTATGGAATTGTAAGCCAAATATATCCTTTCCTCCAAGGTTGCTTTTGATCATGGTGTTTTGTCACAGTGACAGAAAGCAAACTAACACAGTCATGAACATATTTTAATGTCCATCTGAAATTTCATACTATTTAACCAACATCTCCCCAGTATCCATTAGCCTTGACAGGCACACTATACTCTGTATGTATGAGGACAGGCAATCTTTGTCTTGCTGTGTCTAGTTTCCTCTTATACAATGCACTCCAGGTTTATCCATGTTGTTGTAAATGACAGAATTTACTACATTTATCAACAAAAGCATTTATACTGTTAAAGTGCATGCATAATTGAGCTGTGGGAGTTCATGCATGCTGGAAACAAGGCAGAGCTGATTATCTTTGTGCAGTACTTGGAATAAGATGCCTCTTGCAATTGCTGGACTCCAAGTCATTAAAGTGGTTGCCTGATATAACTGCCTACTTAACATTCTCCAATGTCCCTTCCACAGATATGGAAGTGAAGCAAATCAACAAACGCGCCTCTGGCCAGGCTTTTGAGCTGATCTTAAAGCCACCATCTCCTATCTCAGAAGCTCCACGAACTTTAGCTTCTCCGAAGAAGAAAGATCTGTCTCTGGAGGAGATCCAGAAAAAGCTGGAGGCTGCGGAGGAAAGAAGAAAGGTAACTTTCTCCATAAGTTTTGTTTTGTTTGTTTGGTTTGGTTTTTAAGAGACTGAGTTACTCTGTGTTGCTCTGGCTGCCCTAGAACTTGCTCTGTAGACCAGAATGGCCAGATTTTCAAAATCTCTCCTTTCTTTTTTCTTTCCCTCCACTCCAGTCCTCTCTTTTACACAGACACACATATGTGTATGCACATACATGCCCACATACACACAGACTTCAAGCAGAGATTCCAAGAGTCAATGATACCTGAATGAGCCTGTACTAACCCAACACCTTTAATATAATAAGATACTACGAAAACCATGAGCCTTAAGATTTGAGGGCAGGAGCTGGAGGTATTGCTCAGTAGTTAGAGCACTTACTGCTCTGATAAGAGGACCCAAGTTTCATTCCTAGCACCCACTTCAGGGGACTCATGGTACCTGAAACTTCAGATCCAAGGGGATCTATTGCCTCTGACTTCTACAGGCATCTACACTCCTATGCACATACCACCCCCACTCTCTGAGGGCATTAAGATATCCTAGCAAATCTGTGTGTTGATAAAGCTCTATCTGGATGTATCTGTCCCAAAAGGAGGTATTTCCTCCCACAGTCTTCTTTCATCCTTGCACTGTAAATCCCACTTGCTCTATCATGATGTATTTTAGACTCTTGTGGGTCACTAAGAATATCCTGCATACACAGTTTTACAATATGAATGAAACTCTGCATTTTTAATTCCTTTTATGTTGTCTACAAAAAAATCTGCCAATATATTAAACACTATAATCTATGAATATTGTTATAAATCTAGATGGGGAAACTGAGATACTAATCCAAGTAGATACACACAACTTAAGTTTTTGTAACCTATTTTGCTGATACTTGTAGGTGTAACCAACTGTCTTGTCTAAAGCCCTGAGGTATCAGTTGCACTTGAGGCAATTTAAATTCTCCTTAAGCAGAGGTATCCTCTATATAATGGGCACAGCATAGCATAGGATAACATATACATGAGATACCCATACACACATACATGTTCAAAGTTGGCACAGACTTCGGAGTACAAAATCAGTGACTGATCTAAAATTGATATTCAGAAAGCAAAGTTCAATTTCCTAGGTTAGTACACTTATGGCATTTCCAGCTACTGTACTTAATTCACAGAAAGTGACTAAAGGAAAAAGAATACAGAGATAATAAAAATTAACTAGGTGTTGATTTATAAAACTCCCTGAGGCAACTAATTACTGATTCTGGTAAAACTCCTATCCTACATCCTGACGGCAGTAAACTATTAACAGTTATTTAAACAATTAAATCAAACTAGAAATTGACTGTGTAGCTAATGGACATTGACAAATAGAATCATCCAGCATTTTGATATTCAGAAAAAAAATGGGAGAATCTTTTTGTTTTAATGGTGTACACCATTACATTTTTTGTGCACTTTGGAAATTTTTTCAATGAAGAAATCACCATGTGGCTTATGTTCTAGTAGTAAACCTTTAATTAGGAGAAAGTGCAGCTATTAAGAGAAAGTACTAACTTAAACATTCATCCATTGATTTTGTTTGTCTGTTGGATGGCACTGACTTAATTAGCACTCATGTGAAAAACTGTTCATTCTCTTTAAAGAGCCCTCAGCAAATGCATGTCTCTTAGTAAATGTCCAGGTGGGAACACACAAATGACCCAATCCAGTTGTGCTAGCTAAAGGAGGCAGTGGGTATGAGATGGAAAAGTCCAGAAGTGGCTGAAGAAAGAAGGATAGTTCTGTTGAGATGATGCTGTGCTATCATCTGAAACTGTTTTCAGGCCACCATTTCCTCTTGTCTTCTAATTGACTTCACTGCTGGGATAGTTTAGTTACTCTCAGTCCCCAATCACTTTCCAGCAACAAAGCAACTCAGGCAGAAGCAGAGCTTCTTTCTCTCCCTTGCAACCTATTTGCAGCCATGGTTGCACCATGGCTGAGGAGATGCAGGAGTGTGATGCTCAAACTTGGACCAGTCACTCACCTCTGCCCTACAAAGATGGTTAGGCAAAATCTAAGGGTGAGACAAAAGAAAATTAAGGCCTCCTCAGAGAAAGATGGGGGTGGAGCTTAGAGACACAAAACTGCAGGTATCCATAGTTGTCTGCAAACCTGTAGTTCTACTGTGACAACCAGAATGATCATTTAACTTGTATGCTAGTGAATGTGTAGTTCTTTTGTCTGCTAGAATCCTAGTGGTTGTTTTTATGTAAATACAAAGTAAAAAGCTGTGTGTACATTCGGCTATGTAAAACTGCATTACTAGTTAGAAATATAGTTAAAATACTAAAATTTTTAGTGGTCAGATTAAAAACAAAAACAAGTTAAATTAATTTTATTAATACTTTATTCATACTTAAAGCATTATATCAATGTGTGATCAATAGAAAAATACTGCTAACTGAGACATTTTTTTCTTGTCATACTGTTTTAAGTTTAGAGTGTGGCTTACCCCGTAGGGAGTTACAATCATAATATCCATCTGTGGCCAGTAGTCACTAAAGCGAACAGCTTCACAACTAACAACTTTTATAAGCTATGGGAAAACTTGACATCTGCTTTTCCAGTAGAAACCAAATAATTATTCATATTCAACATTTTGAAATATGTAATCTCTATACCTCAGCATAGAAATTTAAAAAGTAGAGACTGCCCCATGCTGTGATTTCCTCATTGCATTATCAAGGCCAGCACAGGAGCACTTCAACCTGTGGCCCTGCATCTTCTTCCTGCCTTCCCAGTCTCTGTTCACATACTGTCTCATCCTTGTGACTCACCAGGTGTGTGTCCTCCCTTAGTCTCTGTTGTATTAGCAGTACCCTGCTCTCCCTTCCTAGCACTTAGCCTGATTGATAAAGTATATATTTATTTTCATTAACTACTTAATTAACTTTAGCCTCCATTAAACTTCATGAAGGTCGAGATGTGTGTTAACAGTGTCTGGCTATATCACTACAATTTTTACTCTTTTAAGAGAACAAAAAATTTAAGTTGCTATGGATAAATGTTAAGATAACAATATGTAAGTTGTATAAACTTTGTATTCCATACTCCCATCCCAAGGTAAAATTATAAACAGTAAGTTTCCAAGTGACATCTCCTGAAATTAAAATCACACAATTGACAGACATTTATCTGGGACCAGCTATTTATCCCAAACATGACTCTAGAAACTAAGGACATCCTCACTGAGCTTCCTGTCACTAAGGGAACAATGGGACCAATAGTCAATCATAAATACACCATGGCATAATACAACATCAAGCATGAGCAAGAGAACATAACATAATGTTCAGAGTAGTAGCAGCAAGTGCAAAGGCCCTGGGGTCAGAGGATTCTGGTGTGTTTGGAAAACCCACAATGGCCAGTGAGACTGAAGTGGTGAGCACAGAGGCAAGGACAGGTGCTAAGGCCAGAAAGCAGTGTCCTGAGGACTTTGGCTTTGAGTGAAAAGAAGGCAGAGGAAGAAAATAAAACCATGTGGGCATTTAATGTGAATCACAGACCAGTCTTAAAGAAAGGTCTATTTTTAAAGGGGCAAACTAGAAAAATGGTGTTAGATAAATAGAGGAAATGGGAAATTGTTATAGATTAGAAAACAAACAAAAAGGCTTCATAACTAAGGACAAATAGAACCACAAAGGCAACCACAAAGAAAATGTTTTGAAGGCAGTGGTTCACACTAGTGGACAGGCAAGTTGGGAGGAAAAACTAGGTCAGACTCCACTATGTAAGCCATAAAGAGATACTGAATTTTTTGCATAAAACAAATGTTTCTAGATGTTAAAAATAAAAATAGTCAGCTGGTAGTAGTCCATGCCTTAATTCCAGCACTTGGGAGGCCAAGGTAGGTGTATCTCTGAGTTCAAGGCCAGCTTGGTCTATAGAGCAAGTTCCAGGACAGCCAGGGCTACAAAGAGAAAATCTGTCTTGAAAAATCAATAAATAAATATTAAAAGCTGAAACAAATATTAAAAAGCTGCTAAAAACTGAGAAACTGGATTTAGCCTAGTCACATTACCCTGAGTCTATTTCCTTTCCCATATATTAAAAAATTTTAAAGATTCCCCTGCAAAATCACATGGCATTAATAGTATCACATGTGTATTTATAGTATTTTGCTGATGTTATAAACAGTTGGTACTGCCAGTTAATAGCCCCAGTTATCTTAAGATAGTAAACATTTCCTCACTAAATTGACAGAATCCTAACTCGAAGTAAACACAGAGGTACACATGGGCAGAGGTATGAGAAGTGGTTGTTATTAGGATGTTGTAAACACAAAACCATTATTAGGAAGTTTAAGGCCTGTCCTTGGGAATCCAGGAGCCCTCTGTCGGCCTAGGGCCCAAGTTATGCAGACAGGGCTCTCTGAAGTCAGGGATGGAAGGCAGCTACTCAAGTATCTCCACAGGGGATCAGATGTACTGTGCATTAAATACCCTGGCAGTTTTCCCAAGTCCCTAGGCCACTTGCACACAGTCATAGCACTGACCATATGGTGACTAGCTTGGATGGAACTGTACAGGTTCCTTCCAGCCAGAATTAATGCTCCATGGTTAATCAGATAGAAAAGCTTATTCTAAAAAGAATGAAACTTTCTCTTGATTTTTCTCCCTTATTGAAGCATCTCTGGCAATCAGTGTCTGTTTTTTTGAAATTAAAGTCTTCATATTGCAACTGATCACGTTTGGGAATGGATGCTAACATGTTGGCCATCCAGTAACTGTACCCATTCAGTCAACATTCATATAGCAAGAGACGGCAGAAGTAGGCTTCCACACATCCCAAGGGAATGATCCATCACACTCTGCTGTTCTCTTTCCCACATGTCCCAGCATAGGTGACCTGTGGTCTGACTGTCTTCAGCAGACCACAGTGTTTACAGGGTCCTTTCAAAGCATCCCAAGAACACTGATTATTCAGAGTGTCCGCAGTTGAACCTGTCCCTCCATGCAATAACTACTGTCCTTGGGCA